ACTCAGATGAATTCTCGGACTGTCCCAACATACCCAGGTTTTGACCCCTGCTAAGGATCTCACTGATTGGCATATCAAAGACAGCCCAATCTGACACCTAGTGCAGTATCATAATAGAGTCTTGGGGTCAGGTGTAACTTTCCAGTTATGCCCACTAGTCACCAAGGTCCAGGGCAATGCTGGAAATCTGGTCCGGTTCAGGGTTTCAAGTAAATCTACACTGCATGTACCTCGGGTCTCACCCTAGCAGCTGAGACAGGTCACCCCAACACTTGGTGGCACATCAGTGTCAGCCTTAGCAGGATAAATATCCCCAGACTTATCCAACGGCTGTGAACATTCTAAACTAACACGAGTCTCATAAGTGTCCAGTTTAAGGCTATTACACAGAAACACACCGCTATAACATGAATCAAATATGTACTTTATTCATTTACAATAAATGCTATAATGTACATCAATCTGATTGGAGCTAAGGGCATACACTGTCTAACAGTTATTCCTTTCATGCTGATCACCTTCAGGTTGCTCAATGTCTTCTTCACTAATAACTCTAGGAGCTTGTCTATTTTTTCCTAGCCCCCTTATAGTCTCTTGGAAACCTCTACACTGACATGTTGTGGTCTTCTACCACCGAAATTTGAAGCAAACCCAAGGAAAGAACTTGCTCTAATACCACTTGATGTGGACAACAAAACAAATTACATGCAGTACTTCACATATATAGCAATAAGCACAAGAAATATCAAGCTAAAAACACCAAAACAAGTTGGATTTTTAGGGATATCAAACCTGAACCTGGAGTAGAACTCCTCTTGGAACTGTTCTGCTACAGTAATAATGACACTAAGTTGGCTTCCCGCGCGGACGCGAAGCAATATAGGGATTGGAAGGTGCTAAAATGGGTTGACTCCTCAAAATCCAAGCTCCCAATATTTGAAAACCTTAACTGGGGCTGAGCTACAGCTCAAACAAGAGACAAAGAACCAAAAGACTCCTACAGAAACAGCCCCCTTTTCTTTTATAAGACCCAATGGCTTGCTTGAGAGGCCAATTAAAATATTTACACCTAAACCCCTAGAATGTTTCCCTCTCACAAGCAACTCCTTAAGAACAAAACTAACTTCACATTAGCCCCCAAAATATAGCTTATGTTGCAAAAAGACCCAACAGATGTGCACCCATCTGCCCTTGACCAGAGTCTGAATTATAAATGATGAAAATACTCCTGGGCCAAAACTGTCAACAAAGCAACTCAAAAACAACAATTTGGAATCCTACTACAAAAACACACAAATACTCCCGCACCCATCTGCCCTTGATTGTCACGTCTAATCCAGGTCTGACGGCATCAGTTTTACCTCCCTTCTGTGTATGCATGTGGTCAAGCGGTGGTCTCTGTACTCAAATATGATCACTTGTTAATGTGTTTCTTATTTAGAAATCAGTTTATGATGGATTTCTAGTCAACTCCTACCCACCCAACGAAAGATGTTTATTTGTCATTTTAAGCATGTTCCGTTTTTGTAAATGGGGTACACTGTCCATTTACAATGGATTGTCAAGTCCTGTCCCTGATTTATAAGGATAAAGTGAATACCCGAGGTTGTATCTGCCTTCTTACAGCATGTATTTATTGTACTCATAGTGGAGGTGTGCTCCCTTTATCAAAAGTGGGATGTGTCTATAAGGCCATTAGCAAGTGCAGTTGCTGGCCATCCCATGCCTGGTGTGCCTTGCGCCTCGGCCCATGCGTGCGCCTTATGAAACTTTGATGTTTTTTTTTGCTTTTTTTTTGTGTCTAGTGGCTGGGCTGGGGGTGCCACCCTTGGACCCTCGTGCCATGCCCGTCAAGGCAATGTTGTTCATTCATTCATCCTAATAAAATGTCTTCATAAAAAGCAATTAAAACTATAAAATCATTATTTTTTGTGTGAGAACTAAGAATTTAAGACCTAACGTGAACTTGTTTGGGCTTGCCTAAAGGGGCGTGGTACAAAGGCGGCTCGTAGAATCAGGAATGTAATATGTTTTACATCACATTAGCTACTTGAAGTAATGCAATTTAGAGAAAAAGAGAGTGTGGGTTTTATATACTTGAAAATGTTTTATATATTTGATTTTATTTTTAAATTCTCATTTGAATATGCTTTACATTTTATATATATGTATTTTAATATTAGATAATAGGTTTTAAAAAAAAAATATTTCAAAATTAAAGTTTATATTTTTATTAATATTATGTTTAATAATTTTTTGTTTTTTTGCCTTTTTTGAATTTTTTTGGCTTTTTTTTTTGTTTTTTTAGTCTTTGTTTTTATTTTTGCGCCTTGCTTAAAAGGGCATGCGCCTTGCCATGCGCCTCAGGCACAAATTGACCCCTGTGCCTTTTTTGCGCCTTGCGCTCTTAAAACACTGAAATGGTCACTCTCATGCATGCATTTTTTTTACATTTATGAGCATGAGATTACAGCAATGTCACCAATCAATTGCCCAGCATGAGATTACAAAATTTTGAAAATGGATGTTGTACACGTTTTTCTATGTGGAGATATAAACTTAGAAAGTGATTTGCAATCTCTTGCATAGGTATTTAGTTACTAACTGATTAGACATTACTCTTAATGCTCTTCAGTTTGTCACAAACTATTAGGTTTCGTGAAGGATTTAATGATATATGATTTTCCAGTATAAAATTCAAAATAATTTTGATCTTTCTGCTCCTTACAGATCACTATGATGTAAAAATGCCTTGCCATCTTATCCTCTCAAAACTTGCGGACAAGTGTCCTTCTGCTGTACTTGCCGGTTTGTATAGTTTTTTAAGAATTCATGTTTATTTTATTATTGTCCTCAATTGCATCCAGTTTTCAATTTATATTGAATTTTTTCAATTACAGTGTTGGACTCTTTGGTTGATCCCCTGCTAAAAACAATTAATCACAAGCCAAAGCAAGATGCTGTGAAGCAAGAAGTGGATCGCAATGAAGATATGATCCGAAGTGCACTTAGAGCAATTGCTTCCTTGAACCGTATAAGGTCATATACTTCTTATTTCTTTTTGTCCTCCCTCTCTCTCTCTCTCTCTCTCTCACACACACACACACACAAGCACCACAAACTACCCTACTTACCCTTGCTCTCAAGGGCTTTCCTCATAAAACAGATTGACCAGGACAAGGACCGAAGTTAATGCAATTGGTAGAAGTTCTAATTATGATTGTTCCAACTTCCAAGAGTGTGCCAACACTGTAAGGGCTTTCCTCATAACACAGATTGACCAGGACAAAGACCCATGGGCTTTCTTATCTCTTGCACAGAGAGCTTTCATCCAGAACTGATCTACCTGAATCACTATCTATAGAAGTGTGTGTCAACACTGTTTGAAGTTTGTCCTGTAGTCATAAATACAAACTGATAGTTGACCCAGATAGGTTCCCAATTCATTAATTATTGGTTCAATTAACTAGCCAACTTATCAATTTTTGTAAGTCCAAACAAATATAGATTATAAGGTCTATGGGTATATGCAAAACATTATAGGAGAAGCAACTATTTTGTAATTTATATATAACTATATTTGTCCCTCCCCAAACCCCACAGTAATAGGAACCTCATGCACTGAGCTGTCCTTTTTCTATTTTTTGATAAGTAATCAAAATTTTTTGCCAAGAAAAGTTCCCTAGCATTATTTTACTACTTTAGTACTTATTGTAAAATTATCATTTACTATTTTTTGTAATTTCTGACTATTTTGATTAAGCTAGTGGATATTAGTTGTTGTAAAGTGTTTTTTGAGGTTAGAATATTTTGAGCATTTGGTATTTGAGTTTGTTAAGGAAAGCCTAGCGCTAAACCAGTGATTTAAAAGGCACGCCTAGGCGCATTTTAGGGTAGGCACCTCGCCCAGGTCCTAGGCGCAGCCCATTCAAAAGGCGCACGCCTGGTGCGCCTAGGTGTGCACCTGGTGCGCCTTGCACCTTAGCCCAAGTGTGTGCCTTTTGAAATTTTGATGTCTTTTTCCTTTTCTTGAGTCTAGCAGCTGGGCTGGGGGCTCTACCCTCGGACCCCCGTGCCATGCCCCACGAGGCCAGCCCAAACAAGTCCATTCATTCATCCTAATAAAATATCTTCTTAAAAGCAAATAAAACTATAAAATCATTATTTTTTTGTGTGAAAACTAAGATTTTAAGATCCTAACATGGACTTGTTTGAGCTTGCCTCGAGGGGCGTGGCACAAAGGCAGCTCATAGAATTAGGAATATAATATGTCACATTAGCTACTTGAAGTAATGTAATTGGGAAAAAGAGATTGTGGGTTTTATATGTTTGATTTCATTTTTAAATTCTCATTTGAATATGCTTTACATATTATGTTTATGTATTTTAATTCTAGATAATAGGTTTTTTAAGACATTTATTTGAAAACTTAAGTTTATATTTTAATTAATATTATGTTTTATAATTTTTTTTATTTTTTTGCATTTTTATGATTTTTTTGGCATTTTTCTTAATTTTTTGACATTTTGTTTTGATTTTTTAGCTTTTTTTTTTTTAATTGTGTGCCTTGCCTCAAAAAGGGCACGCGCCACACCTCAAAAAGGCGCGCACCTCGCCTTGCTCCTTGCGCCTCAGGCGCAAAATGGCCCTTGCCGCTTTTTTGTGCCTTTTGCTTTTAAAACACTGGGCTAACCTTCCTAGAGCTTTATAAATAATACATCATAAGACATCATAAGGGTGTACTGTAATCACACCCTGTGCTTCTCTCTGCTATACTTTGTAACTTATAGAGCTATTTCATATTTCACCTTTTGCTACTGAAGATTGCACCACAGCCAATTCCCTTAATTAAATGTCTTAAAAAATCACTTTTTTCTCATCCTATAGCCACCAATTCCCTAAGTTAATTGTCAAGCATTTATAAATTCCCTTGCTTTACCCACCACATTAACTCCAGTTGGACTTTTCTCCTATGTCCTACACCAACTCTATTTTAGCTCCAGTACCAAATGCGGAATTTGGTGGCAAATCTCTTCCATGTATAGAATCCCATAGTCCATAGAGGAAAGCTCACTAAATTACTTTTCCATGTGGAAGATACCTAGGCCATAGAAGAAAGCTCACTAAATTACTTAACTAGCAAACCTACGCTCTAAAACCCAGACCTGACCAGACGGTTGGACTGTTAGACCTGGGAACCGGAGACCATTCCAGCTTTTTAGAACCCCGGATTATAAATTTCTGAAAAACCAGTAGAACTGATCAAAACCCAACAGAACCGTTTAAAACTGGTCGGATTTTGACGATTTAACCGGTTTTAATGGCCTGCCTGGGTTGGTAAATGTGCTGAAAATTAAGATGCAAGTCTCAAGATTCGAACTCATAACTTATCATTTAGCTAAGTTAGCTTATTATCATTAATCCATCTTGTTGTTTGCACTTGAATTTGTTTTTCTAATATATATATATATATTAATAAATGTATGTATGTACTATGTATATAACCATCCTACCCATGCGTAAGACGTGTTATATTTTTCAAAAAGTTATATTAAATATGTGAATCACGACCAAACTGTTTCACCCGTGACCTGAGAAGCATTCTGGTTTTATCCAGTCCGGGTTTTAAAACATTGGATGTGTGTATGTACTATGTATAGATTGCTTGGTGAAATGATAAAGGAGGCGTTTGGCAAGTCTTTTGTGTGGTTTCAGGCTTTTCAAAGCTTGGAAGACCAAATTTTGGTCTTTCTCTATTTGGCAATGAAAGACAGGAAGCCAGACCTATGCTCTAAAAACTCATGGAAGCCCAAATTGGCCAAAAATCTGGAAGCTTTCTGCACCTAATATCTTTTCGTTTAACAGCTCTATGGATCATCATATACTAGGACACTTAGCAAACGGTCTAGATCTTTAAAGACAATACCCCAAAACATGGTCTAGATCTTTAAAGACAGGTAGATCATTACATCTTTTGGCCATCTAGTCTGTCTCTGTTAGAAGATCCTCCTAAAGAAGCCAATGTTTTAAAAACTGACCCAGAGGTCGATGTAACATATATTTATGTATGTATGCATTATTTTATATTTTTTAATTCAGTTGTTAATTTTTTTTATTTGTAAAAAGTGATAAAAATGCAATTTGAGGCCAAAAAAGGTTTTTTTGGCGAAAATAGCGGGGTTGAAAGGGTATCCGAGCGCAAAGTTGTGACCTCCATAAAATTGCACATACATTGATTGTGAATCCCATGACCCGATGACTAGGTTGAATGGGTCAATAGTTCAACCACCTGGGTTGGATGGTTTTTGACTAAGTCAACGGGTTTTGACCAAATCCTGGATTTAACCCAAACCGTACCCAGAATCTTGGCCGGGTGATGGTTCGAATGGTTCAACCATTTGGGTCAACGGAAGGTTGAAAACACTGAAAAAGACTTGCCAAACGGCACCAAAATTGAGGGATGACAAGCATGAGAATGCTAGTTTGAGTCTAAGAGTAGACACTTCGTGCAAAAGCAATAACAACAAGAATAGTAGTTTCCTGGCCTTCTTAGGATGTCATTGTGTATGAATATCTTTGCCAAGCTGCTTGAAAAGAGAGAATAATATTGACTATGTTCAGGCCAGGAAGAAAGAGGTCATTACCCTGATTATTTTGCCTTTACCCTGACCAATTCTTTTATATAGTTATCTATAGTGGTGCAGTGGTGACCATCTAGGTGGGGTTGTTTGTTCCACCTTGTCTAATAAGATCCATTGCCTCTTCTGTTTGCTGATCAAGGAAAGATGCATCACAGTCTACTTATTTGTCTGTTGGCTTGTTCTGTTGCAACGCAAAGTGGGCTGGCTAAACTGCCTTGCTTCCTAGGCTCCCTACTTCTCCAGCCACTTGCTGTAATAGCATGCTTCTCAGGTGGTTTGCATCATAGGTGGTGCAGCTGAGTCTCAATTTGCCCCTACTTCTGAGGTGGTTTGCACCATAGGTGGTGCAACTGAGTCTCAACTGTCCTTACTTCTCAGGTGGTTTGCACAATAGGTGGTGCATCTGAATCTCAATTGTCCCTACTTCTCAGGTGGTTTGCACAATAGGTGGTGCAGCTGAGTCTCAACTGTCCCTACTTCTCAGGTGGTTTCCATCATAGGTGGTACCTGAAAGTCAGGTATCCGACTAAAAGAATTGACACAGCATCAGACTGGGCTCATTCAAATTTTAGCAAATACTCAATCTGAGCCTGCGGTCTGCCCAAGTTACAGCTCTAATAAACTAGTCAGTCTCTCAACCATCTCATCCAGTCATCATTCATGTGTACTCCATTATTATTCTTCCAAAGATTCTAATATTTTTTTCTTCCATTCTCAGGAGAAAAACATGACTATAACATGCCAGATATTACTAATATTGAATATCTCTTTTATTCTAACACGAATTTCATGTGTTCTGATCATATAATATGAATGTAATCCTTCTTAGATGAGTTGGAATGGTGGATGTAATTCTAGAGTAATGGTGAAAATACATATTCTTCTACGTTTATGTTAATGCAGGAATTAGAAACTTTACTGTTATTTCATCTAGATAGGAATTTGAAGTATCTTTTCAATTAAAGCCTGGAGTTGTTATTTATATTGTTGCATTGAATTTTAGTTGGATGTTGTAAGTTTTTATTTTGTTAAAGTTTTGCTAATATGTTAGTATTTTTTAAGCTAATGGGTCCATGAACCAGGCCATTGGAAAGCCTTACAATCGACCCTATGACCACTAACAGAGTATCAAAAAATTAAATAAATAATTGAACGTTGTAGATTGATATTCATGAGAACACCCATTGACTTCCCTCGGTACTTCTTTCTTTGGGATGCAATGGCACTTCCACAACATCAGCCAAGGAGAACTACAGGAGTAGGAAGGAGAATCATCTTTGCAGTAAGGTGCCTTTTACTTGCGAAGCCCAAGCACCAGGAGGGTGGGGGAACCCTGCATGGAAAAAAAGAGTTTTGAACGAAAGAAATACCATATGAGGATTAGAATTTCGCATTCCCAACACACCCCCAGAAATAATATTTGATAATCCAAAAACTCCTCACATCCATCTCTTTTAAATGTCCAGTAACAACCTGGTTTGGTTTTGCCACTTTATCAAAAGCATGCCTTTAGTTGATTATATCAAGTAGGTGTCAAAAAGGATGGTTTATGGTAGTAATCTATTAATTTCTTCTGAAATTTTTACCCTGAAATTTGTGTTTTCAGTGGAGGAGAATGCAGCCTTAGGTTCAAGAGCCTGATGAATGAAATAATGAAATCATCAACGCTTTCAGAGAAGTACAATTCCATCCGCAATGAGTGAGATGACGTTTTGGATTATGACCGTCACCTTTGCTTTGCTTGGCAAGAAAAGAAAATGTGCTTTTGTTTTATGAAATTAAATGCTTTCCGGAGAGGCTTCTTTTCAGTGTGAGTTTGTACAATGCTCACAATTTACTGGTGTAGGCCTCTTGCTGCTCATCCATGTTACAGCTTACGGGTATATACATAAGCATACAAGAAAAATGTAAAATTGATATTCAGCTTCAATGGAAAGAACCAAGAAATGAGAGCCTAGTTTTGTCGTACAACAATTATTGGTGTAATTTTGTCTCTACATGGCTGGATCTTTTTCTTTTTAACCTGCCATTTTTCATTTGAACTGATTTTGTAATGCACTATTTTTGCACGTATTTGACATGATAATAATTCTTGTTTGTATATTTTTATTGTCTCGGATAATTGTTGCTAATTGCCACATCAAATAACAATTTTATCATCTAAGCCATGTTGGCTTGTTCCAATGGGATTGGCTACATGAATTTTGTTTTGGCATTCCGTTGTAAAGTATTTAATCCATTGTTATAATTACTTGTGATATGGATGCTGCAGGCCAATCATCCGATATTGCTCGTTTTTTTATTAATGGATTTTAGTTTTGATTTCGTTTTCCTCGTTTCCACTTCTTTACCCTTCATTTATAGCAAAATAGCAAGGGGCCTTGTGCTAAATTTGTGATTTACTTGTCTAGTTGTTTACTACTTGTTTTGAAAGTAATTACACCAAAAATATTTTCTTTACCGTCTTTGTGATTTACGGTTAACCAAGGTTCAAAATTTCGGAAATGTAAGGTGTAGCGGAAAGATATTTTTAAGAAGTGTTTCAAGATGCGTTTTGGATACAAACAAAAAATCAAGATACGCATGGATACATTAGTAAATTTATATAAATCTTAAAAAAATATATTAATAACAATAGATATAAATTTTATATGACCTTAAAAGGTTATTTAAACACTTATAAAGAAAATAAGTTAGTTAAACATACAAACCCATACTTCAATAGCTTATATAAAATTTGTTTAAGAGTAATAATAATACTTACAATTAATAATCAATTTTAACATTAATTAATGGGCACTTATTAAGAAAAAAATATTCGCTTGAGAATAATAATACATACAATTATAATCAACAAATGAATATGGTGTAATGGTTTGTTTATGTTTATTACAATCAAATTATTAGTGTTCAATTCTTCGTATCTTTCTTATTTGTAATTTTAAATATGTTGGTTTAAAGACAAGTGAACTTCGAATTTGTTGCTTTAATGGTGGGTCAAATTAAAATTTGAATTTGAATATTGTCATAAATATAGTAATTAATTATTAATTAAGAGAGAAACAAAGTTATTAAGAGAGAGGTAATAATTATAGGGGATTAGGAGTTATTAGAGAGACAAAATTATTAAAGAGGATTTTTTATGTGAGAGAGAGAGAGAGAATCCAATATTAATATTACAATATGTATCGGTTTATACATTCAAAATATCGGTCCTATATCGGTTGATACAGACCCGAAATGACCCGACATGGGTCCATATCGATCCGATAGACGACAAGGAACAAAACTATTGGATTTATAGCGCTCCGTGTACTAGGATGTTGTTGGAAGCCTAGAATAATACGTATCAGCCGATACATTGTGGTTTTTTAAACCTTGCAGTTACTTGGCTAGCTGCACCAAGGCTGCTTTTGGTCGAAGTGCAATTTTCATTTGCATCGGTGTAAACACAATGGAGTGCAAAGTGTAAATTTTGGTTTACTTTTGCTTCAGATTTAACCTTGCCTTTGTTGTTTGTGAATAGTAAAATGGTATGATCCCACTTTATATGCGAGAGAATGGAGGTAGCCAGGTAGGAGCAAGGTTCAAAATATCGATATGCCTGTTATGCCGGTAAAGGTGTATCGGGCTGTATCAATAGTTTTTTTTTTTTTTTTCAAATCTAATTTAGAGGGGCCGGTTTAAGGTCCCGTCCACCCCCTGAACCAGTCAAAACCCTGATACATCCTTTGTAAATATATATCAAGAAGCTCTCAATACAATACATATCGAATGATACGAATGATACGGGCCAATACTATCAAACCTTGGGTAGGAGGAGGGTCCTTAGTTATTGAGGCTTCCACCTTTCAATACGTCAAGAAACACCTCTTTCTGAGAAAGGGTCTAAGTATCACATCAAAGTCACGAGGCCTTGGTCTCAAGGCAAAATCTCTCTGTCTTGCCACAAGGCATACATCTCATGTCTTTAGGTTCCATATTGTAAAATAAATGAGGGGTACTTCGGTAATTTTCTTTCAAATAAAGTTCATACTTCTTAATTAGGAGGAAGAACATATTCTTTTGGTTCTTGGTGAAATGAAGTGGGACTTTTTTTTTCTTTCATTATTTTAAACTTTTGGTTAATTAGAAGTCTGACGTTCCAAGTTTTGTTGTTTTTTCTATTTCTTTTTTCTCTTCTTAACCATTATATTTTTTTTATTGTTTTTGTTATTTTACATAGATCAAATCAACTAAAGTTGCTTTCGGTGATTCATCTTATAATCCCATTAGGCTGAATTTGGAAGGAGTACAAAATGCAAATATGTAGAATGCAAAATCTTATATTTTATATTATTTTGTGTGTATTTACTCTGTACATATTTGCATTTGTATTGCTTCCAAACTGAGCCTTAGTAAAAACAATTTTGATGATGGAGATTTTTTTATAAACTAAAACATTATGATTGGTCAGTTTAACAACTTAAGAACTTTGGTTTTGGAAATTTGAAATGTAAATGGTTTATGATTATTAGTTGGTGAATTACGATGTTTTTGAATGCAAAAACCCTACAACTGCTTGCTATACTTCCATTTTATTGATATGTGTACCTCTATACTTCCATTTTATTGATATGTGTACCTCTATACTTCTAACTTAGTATATAATATGTTATTTTTTATCATTTATATTTTTTAATTAATTTTTCCTAATTTTTTACACCTTGCTACACTTGTGCCACTACACATAGACTATGCTTAGTCGTTTTAAAACCTTGATCCAAGATTGTTTGTTCTTAGTCATTGAGATGTGTTCTTGGGTTAAATACATAAACTACAGCAAATGGAGAATTACCATCTTTTAGTTTTTTGACAATGGATAAAATCCAGTCCGGATTCAGTGGTCCCTTGGGTTCATGGGGCGCATGAACCCTCCAATAGAAGGCGTGTACATTGTCCCTTCGAGACTCAACTCGAATCCCTCGTCGCCGTTACGTTAAGTACCCGTTAACGGGATCAACTGGGCGGGAAGAAAACAAAAACCATTCGAGACTTGAGAGTAATCCTTCGTTTGAACTCCCTCTCTCCCCCCATTGTTACCCGAGCCAGGGACACCAACGACATCCTCACTGATTCACTGACCTTTGGCGGTGAAACATTCAACCAACAAAAAAAATAGAAGCTCTAAGCCAAATATAAAGACATTGTATTTAAAATGTTATTTTTCCTCGTTCAATTTATCGAATTTGCTATTGGGTTATTGGTAAATTCATTTCCAAGATACAATAGAACATTGGGTGAAAAACTACAACAAAAAAATAGAAAATTCTCTGAAGACTCTTTTGAGACAATAGCACATGAGATTGAGACAGGAGTAGGGGTGAGCATTCAACTTATTTGGTTAAAAACTGAACCGAATAAACCGAAATTTTAAAAACCAAAATAAAAAATTGAAAACCGAACCGAAACCGAATTACAAAAAAAAACCAAAATAACCGAAACCAAAATTTTCGATTCAGTTCTTATTTATTTCAGTTAAAAACTGAATTTAATTAATATATATAAAATATTATATATTATAACCTTATGAAATTGAATTTCACTATAATACAATAATATAATATATTAATATATAAATGGGAGCACCCTCATTATCTCCGGTGTCCTGACTGCTTCAGTTGTGTTCTCTACAATGAGAGCATCCTCATTATCTGTCCTTATTGATGAAATTTTAATTTGGCCACCTGTTCAAAACGATAATGAGAAGAAGATTTGAACGTCGCCGGTGGCCTCGACGGTGAGAAGACCACCGTCGTTTTCTTCTTTTAGCTTTTTGATCGATTGTCTAGTTTGATGTACATAAAAAACTTTTAAAACATAAAAAACAAAGGCAAATATAACAGTTTGAACCTCATTTTGAACAGGTGGCCAACGCGTTGGTCTTCTCACTGTCGTTTTCTTCTTTTAGCGCCGGTGGTCAAAACAGGGTTGCCTCTGTTTTGAACGCCGCCGGTGGTCTTCTCAGTATCGTTTAATGCCGGATGGGATGGATAGAAGTTAATGTTAAACGCCGGTTATATTAAGGTTGGTTCAAAGAAGTCGACGTGTACACCTCCTATTTGAGGGTTCACGCGTCCCCTCGTAAACCTAGGGGTCCACTAAATTCAGACTCAAATAAAATCCTCCCCCACCAGCCACCATTAGTGTGTAGTTAACAAATAGAAATGTTCACGGGCCGGGTAGCCTGATGGCTCAGCCAGCACCCTGGTCGGGCTTGGTCATGTAATTAGGCCTGCGGGCCTGATCTCGGGCCTAACACAGTACGTCTGACTGTGTTTTGGGCCGGGCTTGGGATTTGTCAAAAAAGCCCGGTCTGACTCAGCATTATATATTTTATATATTATATAAAATATATAAATAATATAATATATACATTTTTTATTATTTTCTTTATAATCTCTCTCTCTCTATTCAGCCGCTGTAAGTATGGGCTAAATTTTGGGCTCGGGCCCAGGCCCGGGCTTCGGGCTTTTTATGAGGGCCAGGCTCGGGCCTTAGAAAATTCTGTTAATACAGAGTGAAAGCCTGGCCCATGAACATGTCTAATTACAATCTGTTGGGATGTGATGCCACGTTATATATAATTCTTAATTCCAAAAATACCCTTTTATGATTAATTTTGTCCTCTATTATTATTGTTATTTAAAATTTCAAAACAAAACCCAACTATAATAATAAGAGGGCAAAATGAGTTGTCAGCTCTTGGGTATCTGAACTCTGAAGCAAGAAGGGCTCTCTTTAACTGTTACCACTCCAAGTCTCCAACAATCGATATCTGTTACCACTCAGCAATATTAGTGAGACAAGTTAAGGCATTATTTATTCCTCACTTCCATATGAACGAGTTTAGAGGTCATCATCGTCCAAGCAGTGCTAGTGGTGGTGATACGGTACCAATATCATCACTACACCTTTGTTCTTGCCACACCCAAGGACCAGTTTGAGTTTTCCTCAAGCGGAGATCCCACGGGGGATATAGGCCTAACCCATGGAATCCAAGAGCTTAAACGTCTGAGCTCGCATCCCCGGCTATGGACCGGTCACCGGATAAAAAAAAAATT